TGTTTCTACGAGTTTGACCACGGATTCATAGAGATAACCATTGAAAACCAGGGAGTACTGGACAGCCAACTGTTTCATCCTAGTTTGGGAATCATCGGCGATACGCACCCACTTCCAGGGTTCTCACCCAGGACCTTCTGGTCACAGGGCCAGAAAGCTCGTACACCATTCACAACCACTAGGACCCAAATCAATGGCCATTCCATGAATTCTAACTTCTACCAATTCGTGGTGCATTTAGCGCGAATGGCACCAACCAAAATCGTCGGTGGGAACTCGATACTCACTCCTGACTGGTTGGACCTCACTGATCACGACTTCTCAGTAGAACTCGAGGAAACTCTGTCCTGTAGCAAGTCACCTGTGAGCATCAGAATAATTTTATTTTTTTATTTTTTATTTGCAGCTTGATTCCACACCGTATTTTCGGTACAACTATATATATATGTTATGTTCAGTTCAACGCTTGCAATGAATTGTCTCACCATCACTACACTAACTGTATATATATATATATATATATATATATATATAATTATTATTATTATTGCTCCCTTGGGTTCCTAGTGGAACATAGGGCTTCAACTGCACGTCTCCATTCGCTTCCGTCTTCTGCTATACTTTTCGCCTGCATCCATGCTATTCCATACTGTTTCAACTCCTCTTCACACGATCTCCTCCATGTCACCCTTGGACGTCCCACACGCCGCTTCCCTTTCGGGTTCCACTCGAGGGCTTGGCGCGCGATGTCACCCAGCGGTCTCCTCAGCGAGTGTCCAATCCATCTCCACTTTCTCCTGCATATTTGTTGGGCGATTGGTTCTTGCTTTGTTTGTTCCCATAATTCCTTGTTGGTGATTCTTTCCGGCCATCTGATCTTCAGTATTGAGAGAAGACAGTTGTTAATAAAGGTCTGCAGCCTTTTGGAAATATTCTTTGTGACCCGCCAAGTTTCTGATCCGTATAGAAGAACTGACTAACTTGACGTTTGTATTGAAAATCCGAATTTTGTTGGTGATGCTGAGTGACGAAGATTTCCAGATTGGTTTCAGGTTGATGATGAATGTGTTTCTCGCCCCCCCGATTCTCGCTCGATTTGACATCCTCGTCCGTTCCGACTGCTGTAGTTGAGACAATGCTCCCTAGATAAGTGAATGAAGTAACCTCTTTCAAATCCCTCCCGTTGATGGTGATTGACGTTGGATGTTGTTGCTGTTGTTGGTTGGTTATTTTCATAACCTCCGTCTTGTCTATGTTCACCTGGAGTCCTGTCTTCGCCGGCTGCTTCTTCGACCAGTTTGTCGGTTTTCGCTTGTAAGTCTTCGATTGTGTGTGACATCAAACATAAATCATCCACGCGCGAAATCCAGGTCTTCTAGGTTCTTCACGTCGGTCCAGGATATTCCTGTCTTCTCGTTTCCCACTCACTGTCTGACGCATAATCCAGTCCACCACAATTAGGAATATCATTGGTGATAATAAGCACCCTTGTCTGACTCCTGTGTTTACTCCAAACGCCTCGCTGAGTTTTCCGTTGTGGATCACTTGACATGTGCCGTTGTCGTACAGCTGTTGAATAAGGTTGATGAATATTTGGGGTACGCCATAGTACTCGAGTAATTTCCAAATTACTTCACGATCAACGCTGTCGAAGGCCTTCTCAAAGTCTATAAAGTTGAGGTAGAGGTTTGATTGGCCATTCCATGCTTTGTTCTGTGATGATGATGCGTAGAGTTGCAATTTGGTCAGTACATGATTTGCCTTTCCTGAATCCAGCTTGTTCTGGTCGGAGTTCTGTCTCCAGTGCGTCCTTTAATCTCTCCAGGATGATGCGACTCAGGATTTTACTTGGCGTCGACAGGAGCATGATTCCTCGCCAGTTCTTGCAGAGTCCTAAGTCGCCCTTCTTTGGTAGTTTCACGAGGTAACCTTTCCTCCAGTCAGTAGGCACCTTTCCCTCCTTCCAGACCTTTTGCAATAATGGAGTCAGCATGTCTGCTGTCGTCTCTGGGTCCGCTTTCAGTGCTTCAGGGGGTATTCCATCTGGTCCGGCTGCTTTTCCAGCTTTCAGAAGCTTGATTGCGTTCAAGACTTCAGCTCTCGTTGGAGGATTGGTGTCAACTTGCAGTTGTGTGCGCGCTGTTGTTGGTATTTCTGGACGGGTTGCAGGTGATGGTCGGTTCAAGAGTCCTTTGAAGTGATCCGCCCATTGTTTAATCTGTTTTTCTTCCTTGGTAATTGGGTTCCCTTGGCTGTCTTTTATAGGTTTCGCTTGTGTTGGTCTCTTCCCGGATAGAGATTTGGTTATCTGATATAGTGTCCTCAGGTCCCTTTTGCCTGCTGCCTTCTCAGCTTCAGTAGCGAGGTTGTCGTAGAATCGTCTTTTGTCCTTCCTAGCACTTTTCTTCACTTCTTTGTCCAATGCTTTGTAAGTTGAGCTCAGCGTCTCCTTCTCCTGTCCGTCCTTGCATTGAATCATTTTCTCTTTCACCATTCTCCTCTCTTCTATTAATTTCCAAGTGTCCGTTGAGAGCCATTCCTTGTCTTGTCTCTTCTTTCTTCCTAGAACCGTTGAACACGTTTCGTTGAGAATCGCCTTCAGAGACTTCCAATGTTCTTCCACGCATGATTCTTCAGTGATGTCGCGTAGTGTTTCCTGCTTTGCTCTGACAGTTGCAGTGAAAGTGTCTTTTGTGGTTGTGTCCTTCAGTTTTGAGTGTTGAACTTGCATTGTGGCCTATCCCAAGCTATCCTCGAGGCTTTTAGTTTCACCTTGAAAGTCCCTTCTACTAGATAGTGGTCTGAACCCACATCTGCTCCTCTCCTTGACCTTGTGTCCAGTAGGCTCCGTCTCCACTTTCTTGAAATTGAGATGAAGTCTATTTGGTTCTTGGTGTTTCCATCTGGTGAAATCCATGTCGTCTTGTGTATATCCTTGTGTTTGAACACACTACCGCCAATCACCAAATCATTGAAGGCGCAGAAGTCTGAGAAGAGTTCACCATTGTCGTTCATTTCGCCGAGGGCCTCACGACCCATGGTGAGTTCTCTTCCTGTGTTGTCTCCTCCCAGCTTCGCATTCATGTCGCCCATCAGGATTTTGATATCGCCATTTGGGACGTTGTCCATTATTGCTTGTAGTTGTCTGTAGAACGCCTCCTTCTTCTCTTGTTCTGAGACGTTTGTAGGCGCATAGCATTGAATGACTGTAACTTTCCTTCCTTTTGAGTTGAACCTGGCTGTCATTATCCTGGAGGAGATTGGTTCCCACTGCATGAGAGCTTTGGTTGCTGTTGGTGACATCATGATGGCCACTCCCTCGGTGTGCTCGTGGTTGTCCTCTGGGTGGCCGGAAAGATTACTGTCTCTCCAGTAGGTAGTTGGCACCTTCCAGTTCCGTTCCATCTGCTTTCGCAGATTCCCAACACTTCTATTCTGTACCTTCTCATTTCAGCGGCTATCTGGGCAGCCTTTCCAGTTTCGTACATTGTACGAACATTCCAGGTACCCATCCTTACTTTTGCTTTCATCGAAAGAAGGCACATCGGCTGACTGGCTTCCCGAAGGCTAGCTTTCACCAGCCTGCGTCATTTCACTTCCCCGATTCCAGCGAAAAGTAAGGCTATTGCTTATGTTTTTAGAATTTTTAATATATTTATTCGTTGAAGTTTCTGTAGCGATTTGGTTGTTTTACGGGGGTGGAGTTGCTAGCACCACGCCCCAACCCTCCCTCTTTACCCGGGCTTGGGACCGGCGAGAAAACTAGTAAGCTAGTAGCCTAGCAAGCTAGTATCTGGCGAGGTTTGTATATATATATATATATATATATATATATATATATATATATATATATATATATATATAATATGTAATGTATAATATATATGCAAATTCAAGTTGGCTACATTCATAGTAGTAACTATCATTGTCCTCTATGACATCCTATACAAGCACTTTCCAGTGGTACAAAAAGAGACATGCTGCAATTACACCACACCACTGTTACCTGAAATCGATGTTTTTCATATGCCCGGATGAAAATAAATAAGGAAGGCTTTTAGAGCTTGCTGAAAGTCAAATAATAAAGTATTTACGAGTTTGACCACGGATTGATATCACTGATATATCCTTACAAACCAATTCTTGAAAAATTAATCTGATGCTCGCTAGTGACCTGCTACAGGACAGAGTTTCCTGGGATCAATGAAGTCCAACAAGTCAAGTGTGAGGATGAATGGATGTCCCATCGATGATATTGGTTGTGGTCGCGCTAAATTACAAAATTGGTAGAAGTTAGAATTCATGCGCTGGCCGATGAATCGGGTCCCAGTGACTGAATGGTATACGAGCTTGCCTTGTAACTGGAAAGTCCTGGGTTCGAACCCCAGTAGGTGAGTACTGCCTATGGTTTCCAACTTACGATAAACAGCTGTCGAGTACTCCCTGGTTTTCAATGGTTCTCCAACTTATATCAATCCGTGATCAACTCGTAGAAACAAATTTAATCCTTACAAATCAACTTTTGAAATATGGTATTTTACTGGACTCCGTTTCTTCCTGGACAATACCACAACTCCGTGTAACTCTGATCAACTTCGTAGACATCTTACTGACCAGCTGTACACACAGTGTACTTGCCTATATCCACATCGAAACTTCCCATTAAAGGAAACAAAATGGCTTCCTTTATTTTGTTTTACGCGAGTGAAGACTAAAGTTACCATATAAGCTATTAGAGAAAAACGAAGACCTTTTTACTCCTTACTTGATTTCAGTGAATTAATGGTTTTTAACTAATAGAGCAATACTGAATGAAGCTCATGTGATTTGATTTGATCTTTATTAATATAAGTCATAAAATTTAAGTCATAAAATTCATTAAAACATCATCATCATCATCACCACCACCACCAACAACAACAACAACAACAAACAAACAGACGGATGGATGGACAAGTAAATAAACAAAAAAGGACATTTTTATCTTAACGAACACTTACCATCCATTTGTATTCAGGATGATGTTCCCATTATCAGTTAATAGGTTTATTGTGAAATGGCCAGAGAGAGACAGTTGTACGACTGGATGAATTTAAGCAATTAATTCCATGTCTCTTTATAATGTTGACTACACTGAATACATAAGTTTTTATTTTACCATGTGTATGTATGGAACGCATTAAACATGAATTGTTCATGTTTTCTTGGAATAATTTTTTTTGAAAAAAACCCAACAAAAAAAACAACGAACAAGAATTGAATATTAAGAATCCAGTGTACAGCTATTCTGACTTCAACTACTCTGTTGTCCATTGTGCAGAAAGGTTTGTCAGTAAGACTGACTAACTTACTGACTGAGTTTTTCAAAGTAGAAATGCTGCACAAAAGTGCAGCATTTCAGGTTCTCCGTATAGCACACAAATGTAGACAGACAAACAACGACGAAAAAATTCAGAAAAAACTATAATGAAAAGAAATTTACAAGAGGAAAAATAAGTAATTTATGTGGGCAATAATTAGAATTTGTAATGGATCGGAGAGATTGTCAAGCGTGCAATTCGTCTGCGTCATTCAGCCATTATCAGCCAGTAGTCTCCAGAGCTACTGGATCCTAGAGTGTTGAGCTCACCAGTCAGATAGCTTAAACATTCTGTGACTTGAATTGGTTATCGAAAACTTCACGGGTTTATGTAAGGTTTTGATCTGGCCAATGATCTTCCTGATTGTAGTAGATTGGATAATGCGACAGATAACGGGAAATGAGTAGGCAGGCATAAAATTGACTCACACAAAAAGAGACTTGGAGGATCTTGACTTCGCCGATGACATGTATATGTCTGATTTCCCACAAACAGGAAGATATGCAAGTGAAAAGCAACAAGCTGGCAGAAGAAGCATCCAGAGAAGATGGGACTTCAGGTGAACATAGATTAAACAGAAGTGATGAAGATTCCCGGCCAACAACAACAACAGACAACAAACAGCCAGCATAAATGGGAGGAACCTGAAAGAAACAACCTCCTTCACCTACCTACCTACCTACCTACCTACCTACCTACCTACCTACCTACCTACCTGGAAAGCATCGTTTCAACTACAGGCGGACGGAACTGATGAGGATACCAAAGCCAGAATTGGAAAAGCAAGACAAGCTCTCATTACTCTCAAGTCTGCGCGGAGATGAACAGAACTCAGAATGAAAAATGAGATCCGGATTTTCAACTCCAATGTGAAGTCAGTGCTACTTACCATACGGATCAGAGACTTGACCAGCGCGTCATCAAGAGCGTCTCAAACAAACTTCAGACCTTCATTGACAGCTGTCTTCACTCAATACTCAAGATCAGATGGATGTTCAGATAATGCTAGGTCAGTTAACACTGCTTGAGGAGAAAGATGATGGCTTGACATGCCTGATGTGGATTAGCAAACCCCTTGGAGTAGTGACCTTCCCACCTCACCTAACACTTAGTATTACTCACCAGACTATACAATTTAATAGTAGGAATGATAACCGTCGTATACGTATGAAGTGACTAAGTGCTTAAGTGTGAAAATTCGTGCTTTCTGGTGTATATCAGCTAATACTAGAGACTCTTTTGTGTAGACATTTGAACAAGAACATTGTGTGCACATATTACGCCAATTAATGAAGTGCTTCGTGTAAACTATAAAAAAATTATAGACCCCATACGGCAGAAATAAGCGATTTAAGTAAGACAAGTCATTTGTATAGTGATCCTTTCTTTTCACTGATCACCTCACCTTAAGACTGTAGATCATCTGATCGTTAGAGAACCACTGGAGTACTGGACAGCTGTTCGTGTCGTTCTAGTTTGGGACTCTTCATCAGTACGCATCCACTGCCAGGGTTCCAGCCCAGGACCTTCTGCCTACAAGGCGAGCTAGCTCGTAGACCATTGAGCCACTGGGACCCAATCCAATGGTCCTTGAATTCTAACTTCTGGTAATTCACGACATAGCGTGACCATTTCTCAATGTCTTCTTCAATGAGTTACTGCCTCATCTTCAACTTGCTGTACCCTACTGGTCACGGCTTCCCACCATTATTTAGCTTAGCAATTAGTAATGTATTACGTCATTGTTAGGCTCTACATGTGAATGGAGCAACTGATACACTGAATTCTGACAACAAAAATAAGAAACAAACTGCTACCAGACAGCTGTCCAGTTTGCGACTCCTCCTTCTCCTCTTATTTATTTATTCATCGTAGTATATTACCCTCGGATTTTCTCACACTACATTCTAATTGAGAAAGGAGAGGAATACAATTAACCTTTATAATTATGCATCAAGGCACGCTTGTAGAGTGAGTGAGTGAGTGACTGTGCGAGTGTGTGTATTTGCGCAAACACACATGTATATATACGATGACCGTAAAATCAGCTCAGAGATAACAGCGATAGTCTAAGCATCCTACTTATAATTGAATAATTTGCATTCTTCTGGTAGATCGAAAAAAGATTAATGAATAACAAATGTTCGCGAATTTCTCTTCATCTCTATCCATCTATCCGTCTACTTAAATATCTGTTCTGTCTATCGAAATAAACCTTTTTGGACAATGTGAGTGTGTGTGTGTGTATGATAGAGCAATCAGACAATAGACAAATAACCGAACAGAAATACTATTGAGTCATTTGAAAATTTAGAAAGAAACGATAGAAAATGCTATAGTACTTTTTAATAGAATCAGAGGGAAAGACAAAAATATAGTAGAATTAAATAAAATACACGACAGTGTAGCTATGACAGTGATCGTTGTGGAAGTAGTAGTGGTAATAGTGTGGTGGTGTATACGGACAATTATTTCCACAATTCAATATTGCATTAGCAATAGAATACTATATGTAATACTACGTAGTATGTAAACGCTTCCAAATGATAGGGTAACGCGTGAAACGTGTTTGGTATCTATGACCATGGGGTAGTGAGCTTGTTTAGGCCTAATAGTGCCCAGCTAGAGTGTCTTGCTTATAGGTCTAAAATCTTATAGTAAACACAGCATAAGCTATATAGACGATATGAGCGTGGGTTAAATGGTTCTCATGGCTCGCTTATATGACTGTGTATGGTTTTCTGTAGTCTTGGCAGACGTATAGAAGCTATTCGCATGCTAAATTGGTGCCTCCAAAGCCTCTGGATGGTCGGGGGTGGGTGCCTTGCGCTGCGGGTTGGCCACCCCTCCGCACACCTTGAAATGCTCCCATATGACCGGGCGTCTTACATAGCCTCTCCTGAGGAAGTCCTACTCACTGCCTTCACGTGGCGGAGGTGTTTCTCACTAAAGTGAGAGGGCAAAAGCGGATGCCCGGCGCTCTCCACCGGGTTGACTGTCCATTGGATGACAGTCTAGGGGAGATGGCTAAACCCTGATTCCAAACCTCCAACGACTGGCGTATGAAGCTCACTGGAGCTCACCGGCAGACGTATGGACAAAGGGCTTGTTGGATGTCCTGGATGTCTGGCCCCATTCAAAAAGGCGTATGAACCGAACTCCGGTCACCGGCTGCCAATGGATAGTGGACTCCTTACTCCACTCCTACTGCCTTGTAGGTCACACTTGGCTGTGTAAAGGCTAGAGCTGCACTCTCAAACAAAAGGCCGAGCGATGCTGGGGACATCACTCGTACCAAATTCCCATGAAACTTCATGAACTCTCTTACAAACAACTCTCACCATGCTACGGCGTTCCCGGTAAGCGACGCGCCCTGTGCTCACCCGGTGGCCAGTGTGAAAAGTAAGCTAGCTGGGAAATTAACACTTAGAAACCAACTATTTGTTGGCTGCTGGAATGTTAGGACGCTGTTGGATCCTGGTAGCCAGTCTATCACCATGCGTTCTTTATACGACTACAAGGTGGACATAGCGTGTCTATCTGAAGTGAGGTTACCCGATCATGGCTCCCGCCGAATAGCCGTACCTGGAACAGATTCTTCATTCTGGTTGCTTCATAGTGGACCCCAGAATAATTCGGGACAACATGGGGTAGCATTTGCTCTCAGTAACAAAGCCAATAATGCCCTAATATCATTCGAACCGGTCAACTCCAGAGTTGCAGTCGCTAGGTTCAAGGGTTCCCCGCTCGACATTTCTGTTCTCGCTGTCTATGCCCCAACCCTCGACTCTGATGAAAGTATCAAAGACGAATTTTATGACAATCTTCAAGAGGCAATCAACAAAATCCCAAAGCGTGACGTTCTCATAGTAGCCGGCGATTGGAACGCCCGCACTGGCCCTTCAGACGACGCGACAAAACATATACTAGGCAAACACGGTCTCGATCAGCGCTGCCGTAATGGTGATAGACTTTTAGCTTTTTCTGATTACAATCGATTATATATCACCAACACTCGATTTCAACACCCTAGAAAACATCTTCTCACCTGGTATTCGAACGACGGTCGCACTGCACATCAGATCGACTACATCCTAGTGCGCTCACGCTGGATCTCCTCGGTGGAAGACTGTCGATCCTATCGTGGAGCAGAGGCCGGAAATAAAGGGGGATCAGACCATACTCTAGTTAGGGCGAAATTCAAACTTCGTTTAACAACACGCCAGAAGGCGCGACCTCCGAAGCGTATCAATGTTGCCCCGCTTCAATGTTCGACAAAGCGACAAGCCTTGTCCAAACAAATCCAGGCCGAACTAAGCGCCGCAGATGAACCAACATCCACATCTTCTAATACACCTGAGACACGATGGAATCATTTCAAAGAAGTAGTCTCTAAAGCTTCAATGTCGCATTTGGGTACCACATCCAAGAAGCAGAAAGACTGGATTTCAGAGCACACCATGCTTCTATCCTCGCAAGCCAGAGACGCTCGCCTAGCAAAGTCTCCAGTTTATCGCTCCCTCAGGCGCAAAGCTACACAGTCTGCTAGGAACGACAGAAATCGCTATTGGTCTAACGTGGCGACTAACATGGAAGCAGCATCAAATGTAGGCGATTTCGGAAAACTTTATCGCCTCATACGC